ACTCCAACTCTGGGGTCAGAGAACCAGGGTTAGAATCTAAACATCTTTTCTTTCTAGCTGTGAAACCTCAAGCAAAACATTTAATGTCTCTAAACCTTCATTTCCTCATCTGTAAAATAAAGATAAATATTTATCTCTCATAATGTTATTGTCAAGTTGAAAGGAAATGAAAACCTTTAAAGTGCTTAGCATCTACCTGACTTGGAGCAAGAACTCAGTAAATGTTAACAACAATATTTCGAGACACCGATTTCAGTTAGGTAAGAAACGTTAACTTTGTTGAGCTCCTTCACTCTCCCCAAGGGACTCAAACTTTGGAGGCAAAATGAAGAAGAGTTTGGAGAACGTCCCAAGTTAAAGTAAGTATAAGGGTTGGGGACCATCTCTTCTGTAAAGGGTTCCTCCTGAATTAGAGGAGTCTTTTTCCCTATCCTCTCCAGAGGTCTCATATTATGTCACATATTATAATTTAAATATATCACAAGTAATATTATCAACCTATAAATGTTCCTAGGCTTTCTTAAAAGGATCACTGGCCATAAACCATTGCTTTCCCTTTTGTAAACTGTCCTGGGTTCAGGGAATCAGTTGTTTCTCTCTACTCTGGGCCTCACCCAAGCTAATGGTACCCCAATCTCCTTCTTAAACAAGATCACACAAAACTGGGTGTCACCAGTCTGGTCCTAATATTTTTCCCTCTGGGAAATATTTTGAAAATTGCCTTTCTGGAAAATAAGCAAACTCTACCTTGTTAGATAAAAATCCATTCTAAGTTTTCAAGAATTGTTATTATGTTCTCGTTTTATTATTGAAAAAATTGAGGTTCTAATTTGTTGAGCAGTTTTCCAAGGGTATATCAAGAGGGATATGGTCCAACTAAGTCTCTCTCAAGTTATAAAGAAAGAAAAAGAGAAAAAACATGGACCACAAAGAACTCCAAAATCAATCTTTATACTTGACGCCCATAAAAGTTGAGTATTTGCCTAATGGTTTTAGAGAGGCACTGTGATTTTAAAGGTTTGGGGCTCGGGTCTGCAGAAAGGGTCTTTCTCATCCCCTAAGAAGAGAGCATGATAAGATGGAAAGAATACAGAATTTGGAGTTAGAATGTCCTAGGTTCAAATGTCTGTTCTGTTCCTTCCTAGGTGTATAACAAGTTGGACAACTTTCTTAACTTCTCTGAACTCCACTTTGTTCATCCATAAAATAGTCATAGCTATACCCAGCTTGGAGGGCTTCAGGAAGGACTAGAGCTAATATATGAAACAGGCTTTGCATGCATGTGCCACAAACTCAGTGTGATAGCATCTGCACCCCAACAATCTGCCACCTAATCTCTGGTCAGGAGCCTCGAACAATTGTATCTGTAATCAGAGAGACCCCCAGGAATTAGCCATGGGATACACATAAGATGGACTACAACAATTTCAGAATTAGATGCTGAGAAAGGTGTTGAAATTAACCAGGTTTTCTCATGATTTGAAGGTAAAAAAGCTCTGATTAACTGCAGGGACATTTCTTTGGTTCCATAGATTATAAAGATATAGGAAAATGCAGGGAGACAACAAAATAAATTTATAGCTAAAAGGATTTGCCATCAACTAACTCTTCTGCTTCTACTTTCACTTGGAAGTAATTTTAGACAAATTAATCTCCCAAAGATTTAAATTCCTCAAAGGTAAAAATAAGATCATAATATCTGCTTACAGAACTGTTTTTGGAATTAAATAATATATGCAAAGCACTCACAGTCTCTAGTAGAATTGATAAGTAAAATATGTTATAAGCATACCAAGGAAGATCATAACAAAATCAGAAAAAAAAACTAAATTTACCAAAATTACATAAACAAATCACAAAAATACAGTGTATACTAAAAAGTGGGATTTATGTCACAATATCATGTACACAAATTTTAAAACAAACACACCATAGCCACTGTATTTTTAACATATATATATTTGTAAATAAATATGAAAAGAATAAACATGGAAGGATATGTATTTTGAATACACTAGAGTACACCCCTAAGAGGAACAGGGGAAGGAGTAAGAATGAGGCAGGACTAGCAAAAATAATAAAATAAAATGAAATGAAAAAGAGACTTGCCCTGACCAATGATGATGGTTTATCAGGAACTGAGGAATAAAGGCCATTCAATTTTCTACCTAAGACCCCATAATATTATGTTTAAGTAACTATAAATCACTTGAATAGTGCCTGAATTTCTTTATATACTCAGTATTTAGTAGCTAAAGAGCCTACATACCTAGACATATAAATCATGGATTGTGAGAAACAAAAGATTTAATGGTCATGTAATCTAACTCTGCCATATCATAGAACAGAAAGTGAAGTCCGCGTTGGAGGGAAAATAAACGTTTGAAGGTTACTCAGCTAGTGAGTGCCTGTCGTAGAGCTGACAACCATAGAGCTTGAACCAAACCATGAAGGCCTTCCAAAGAAGCTGACTTATCCCCAGACCCTGCTGCTGGAGCAAGGTGGATGGAATAGCCCTAGGACATGTTTGACTGATCTGTCAATGTCTCTCTCCCACTAGGACCCTGATTAGAGCTGAAGTAAGCTCCAGACCCAAGAACAGCTACCATGAGCCCTTTCATGAAAGCGTGTGCTGCTTGTCTCTCTCTACCCATGTAGTGAATAAAGCAGTCACAGTGATTCTACAGATGGGGCCTCATTACAAGTTCAAAACCTCTTCCTGGCAGGTCCCAGTGGAATTAGACCTTAGGTGAAAGGGAAGTAAAAGAGGGATCCCATGGAAGCCAGAGGACCTGCCTGTTATCCCCGTGTCTGCAGACAGCTAATTATTTGACTTTGGGACAAGTCTTTAACCTCTCTGTCAGTTGTCTCAATGCCAAAATAATTACAATATCTATCATGTCCACCTTACAGGGGTGTGGAGACAATCACAGACATTTATGGATATAAAATGTATGAAAGAAGGTAGAAAGAGGTATTATAATTAGTTTTTACTACTATGGATTTTATCAAAAATAGCAATCCCCATGTTGCCACAGCAAAGAAAATTCCTTGTTGTGCTACATGGAAAAAGAGTTTCTTAATAATGTAATTTTTATATTCATGGCTTCATCAAACATAGTTCTAGATTCAAGGACTCTGAATTGGCAGATTCCAACATGAGGAAATTGGGGGTGTGAGATGAGGGAGGCCAGGCAAATGGTTCAAGGGGAGCAGTGTAGGATAATGGAATCTGGAGACCTGGGTGTGGATCCCAGCTCCTCTACATGTGGGTCAACAGATGGTTTCGTTTCTCTAATCTCCATTTCTCAAACACAAACAAGACTAATGTCACCTGTCCAGTAGGACTGTTGCCAGGTTTCCATAAAGTATTGTGTATGGCAGGTCCTGGGAGAGTAGAGATGTCTTTGAAAAATAAGAGATGGGAACCTGGGCTTCCATGCAAAGACTCCCAAGGAAGCCTTTAGGCATTTTAATGAGTATACTGGATGGACTTGGAATATGGTATTATGCAGTATTACGAGGTGACTCAAATCTGTACCATATGGCAACAGGAAATCTTAGGAAATGCAAAACTTCCATGACTCAAATATAAAGCAAACTAAACATAATTATTTTAACCAATTTGGTAGATCAAAAGAAGGAGCATTCATTTGACTTGACGTTTGAAAGATTCTCCCAGAAGCAGAAGTTTAATGACATTTCCTTTTCTGTGTATCCAATCACAATATTTAGTCTTTTTGTATATGGCATGTATGTAATCATAATAGAGAAACACAACTTATTGATAGTAGAATCAACCCATAGTCAAAATACAGAGAAGACTTAAATTAGCAAGCATTCCCATATGAATGGGATAAAAGACTGATTTCTTTTGTTAATGAGGTGGAAGGGAGAAGAGAGGAAAGAACAAGGGAATAATTTCTTCATTTTACTAAGGGTCAAATTTACTCAGTCAAAAAAAAAGAATATATATTATATATATAAAATTGAAAGAAAGATACAAATATATTACATGAAGATAGCAATATTAATAAAGTTCATGTGGGGTAAATGGACTATGTTTCAGAACAGAAAATCAATAGCTACCATCTAAAATTGATAGTAATAGCAACAACAAAATTAGCCAACATTATTTAGCTCTATGTGCTGGGCACTGATCTGTACCTGTTATAGGTATTAACTTATTTAATACTTAAAAGGCTACAAATTGAGTTCAGTGTATACTGCTCAGGTGATGGATATACCAAAATCTCACAAATCACCACTAAAGAGTTCATTTATGAACCAAATATCACCTGTTCCCCAAAAATGTATGAAAATAAAAAATAAAAAGTTATATATTCAAATTCAAAAAAGATAATCTATTTTCTCTTCCTTAAAAAAATTAAAAGAGCCCCATGACATAGGCATATTTTTCTGTGTTACAAATAGGTGAATATGTTATTTTAGGAATGTATGAACTCCTCTACCCAACTTTGATTTAATGAAGAGTTGAGGCACAAAGGGGTTAGGTAACTTACCCAAGGTCAAAAAAAGGTAGCAAGCCCATGAGTTTGAACACATTATTTACAATCGTGGTGTATAAATAACCAAAAACATTTTTAATGCAATATGTTGAAGATGATGGCCTCTGAGATGGGGTGGTGATGATTAAAGTAGAAAGAAAGACTTTTTGTTATCAGTTAATACTATTCGACTAGGCAATTTTTTTACTGCCCACTGAATAATTATATAAGAAGACAGAAAATATCAATGTGTACTATAAGGGAATGGTGGGCAGGAAGAGCAGATACATCAGCTTCCAACTTGTAAAAGGCTTTCATGAGAAGAAGTGATTAAAATTGCTATGAGTATCTAGAAGGGGTAAAACTAAGGCCAGTGTGTGCAAGGTACAGAAGGAGAAACCCTAGGTCCAAAAAGAGAATCAACAGGTGGAACTGTTCACAGATGGAGACTCATATGGCAACTGAGTGACTGTGTCGTGGGTATATGGTAAGTGAGACTTCAGCCCCAGATGGGATTGGAATAGATGCTGTCTAGGTCTCTTCCAAAGCTGAGAATTGTGTGCCTCTTATCTTTACAGAAATTTCCAAATGTAAACTAGAATTAATTTGAATCAGAAATACCAGCTTCAGGCTCAGTTCCATAAAATGCAAGAGATGTCCAAAGAAAATCAGCCAGTTTCAGAATTTCTTAAAAACAAGTTTTACAAATAGGCCCAGAATTATAAGCCACACTTCCACCATAGAGGAAAATATTCTGTCCTTCACTTCTGAAATTCTTTTTATTTCATTCTCATCCTCAGATCAACAGTCCATATTGTCTCCATGGCCAAGAATAATCTCACCACAGTAACCGAATTCATTCTCATGGGCTTTATGGACCACCCCAAATTGGAAATTCCCCTCTTCATGGTGTTTCTGAGTTTCTACCTAGTTACCCTTCTTGGGAATGTGGGCATGATTATTTTAATCCAAGTAGATGTCAAACTCCACACCCCAATGTACTTCTTCCTGAGCCACCTCTCCCTGCTGGATGCCTGTTACACCTCAGTCATCACCCCTCAGATCCTAGCCACATTGGCCACAGGCAAAACCATCATCTCCTACGGCCACTGTGCTGCCCAGTTCTTTTTCTTCACCATCTGTGCAGGTACAGAGTGCTTCCTGTTGGCAGTGATGGCCTATGATCGCTATGTTGCCATTCGCAACCCACTGCTCTATATCGTGGCCATGAATCCCAGACTCTGCTGGAGCCTGGTAGTAGGAGCCTATGTCTGTGGGGTGTCAGGAGCCATGCTGCGTACCACGTGCACCTTCACCCTCTCCTTCTGTGATGACAATCAAATCAACTTCTTCTTCTGTGACCTCCCCCCGCTGCTGAAGCTTGCCTGCAATGACACAGCAAACATCGAGATTGTCACCATCTTCTTTGGCAGTTTTGTGATTTTGGCCAATGCCTCAGTCATCCTGATTTCCTATCTGCTCATCATCAAGACCATTTTGAAAGTAAAGTCTTCAGGTGGTCAGGCCAAGACTTTCTCCACATGTGCCTCCCACATCACTGCTGTGGCCCTTTTCTTTGGGACCCTTATCTTCATGTATCTGCAAAGTGGCTCAGGCAAATCCCTGGAGGAAGATAAGGTCTTGTCTGTCTTCTACACAGTGGTAATCCCCATGCTGAACCCTCTGATCTACAGCTTAAGAAACAAAGATGTAAAAGACGCCTTCAGAAGGGTCACTGGGAGACTCTAGGTATCCCTGACCATGTAGATCCGAGTGAGAGGAATTTTGTTTTAGTCCACTTTTTTCCCATATCAATATATCCTAATAGGCACCATTACTATATGCAACCTATACCTACAAACAGAGAAGATAGAAGATAGGTACCACCAGGCACACAGGGAAAACTACAACTGTGTTGAAATTAGTTTCCAGCAATTTCATGTTCTTTCTTCTTATCCCCTTCTTCTGCTTTCAATCCATTCCTTAGCACTCAGCAGTCTCTTGCTATTCTCTAATGTCACAACTTATAGAATCTCAGGTGCTGGGAGTCTTGAGTTTATTTCATTTATAAAGAATTCCATATTCTTTATGTTATTTTATGAATATATGAACTCCTCTACCCAACTTTGATTTTATGAAAAGTTTATCCTCATTGCCTCTCCATATGGAAACATAGCTCATTGATACTGACTTAACTCTTTGTAGAAAATTATAGCTATATATTGTACTATTGGAGAACAAGGGTTTTTTGTGGTATGGATAACCTGTCAACTCATTATAAAGTAAATGAAAAGAACCTATGAACCCAGTGAAATTTCTAATCAGAAAAAAATAGAGTAGATCAGGAAAGGGTGCTTTCTTTGGGCTACTCTTCCTCTAATGTCTTCCTAAATGGTTTCTAATATCTGCAGAACTATAATATCTTCTTAAGTGACAATTCTCTAGATTCTGAACCTCCAATTTCTTTACTTTTTTCTCTTCCTAAACACAGTGCCTGCCTCATGACAATTACTGCTCTCAGGCTTGTTCCCAGCGTCTGCGAAGTCAACAATGATAGACCTGCAGCAAGTAGTCACAATTGATACTACTTTCTCAGGTAAAAATAGCCTCTATGATTATAGAAGTAAGCAATTATTGTCCACATTGGATGGCGAACTCCTTGAAGACAGGGTCATAATGCTTCATTTAATACTCTCTTCTATATTGCTGCTTCTGGTACACTGAAAACTACTATACATTTATGAAAGACATTAAAGAAGAGACAAATAAATAGACATCCCACATTTGAGTGTAAACTAGTTCAACCACTGTGGAAGACAGTGTGGCAATTCCTCAAGGATCTAAAACTAGAAATCCCATTTGATGGATAAATTCCTGGACACATACACCCTCCAAAGACTAAACCAGGAAGAAGTTGAATCTCTGAATAGACTAATAACAGGCTCTGAAACTGAGGCAATAATTAATAGCTTACCAACCAAAAAAAGTCCAGAACCAGATGGATTCACAGCTGAATTCTACCAAGGGTACAAGGAGGAGCTGTTACCCTTCTTTCTGAAACTATTCCAATCAACAGAAAAAGAGGGAATCCTCCCTAACTCATTTTATGAGACCAGTATCATCCTGATACCAAAGCCTGGCAGAGACACAACAAAGAAGGAGAATTTTACACCAATATCCCTGATGAACATCGATGCAAAAATCCTCAATAATATGCTGACAAACCAAATCCAGCAGTACATCAAAAAGCTTATCCACCAAGATCAAGTGGGCTGCATTCCTGGGATGCAAGGCTGGTTCAACATACGCGAATCAATAAACGTAATCCGGCATATGAACAGAACCAAAGATAAAAACCACATGATTATCTCAATAGATGCAGAAAAGGCCTTTGACAAAATTCAACAGCACTTCATGCTAAAAACTCTCAATAAATTCGGTATTGATGGGACGTATCTCAAAATAATAAGAGCTATTTATGACAAACCCACAGCCAATATCATACTGAATGGGCAAAAACTGGAAGCATTCCCTTTGAAAACTGGCACAAGACAGGGATGCCCTCTCTCACCACTCCTATTCAACATAGTGTTGGAAGTTCTGGCCAGGGCAATCAGGCAAGAGAAAGAAATAAAGGGTATTCAATTAGGAAAAGAGGAAGTCAAACTGTCCCTGTTTGCAGATGACATGATTGTATATCTAGAAAACCCCATCGTCTCAGCCCAAAATCTCCTTAAACTGATAAGCAACTTTAGCAAAGTCTGAGGATACAAAATCAATGTGCAAAAATCTCAAGCATTCTTATACACCAATAACAGACAGAGAGCCAAATCATAAGTGAACTCCCATTCACAATTGCTTCAAAGAGAATAAACTACCTAGGAATCCAACTTACAAGGGATGTGAAGGACCTCTTCAAGGAGAACTACAAATCACTGCTCAAGGAAATAAAAGAGGACACAAACAAATGGAAGAACAGTCCATACTCATAGATAGGAAGAATCAATATTGTGAAAATGACCATATTGCCCAAGGTAATTTATAGATTCAATGCCATCCCCATTAAGCTACCAATGACTTTCTTCACAGAATTGGAAAAAACTACTTTAAAGTTCATATGGAACCAAAACAGAGCCCGCATCTCCAAGACAATCCTAAGCCAAAAGAATAAAGCTGGAGGCATCATGCTACCTGACTTCAAACTATACTACAAGGCTACAGTAACCAAAACAGCATGATACTGGTACCAAAACAGAGATATAGACCAATGGAACAGAACAGAACCCTCAGAAATAATACCACACATCTACAACCATCTGATTTTTGACAAACCTGACAAAAACAAGAAATGGAAAAAGATTCCCCATTTAATAAATGGTGCTGGGAAAACTGGCTAGCCATATGCAGAAAGCTGAAACTGGATCCCTTCCTTACACCTTATACAAAAATTAATTCAAGATGGATTAAAGACTTCAATGCAAAACCTAAAACCATAAAAACCCTAGAAGAAAACCTAGGTAATACCATTAAGGACATAGACATGGGCAAGGACTTCATATCTAAAACACCAAAAGCAATGGCAACAAAAGCCGAAATTGACAAACGGGATCTAATTAAACTAAAGAGTTTCTGCACAGCAAAAGAAACTACCATCAGAGTGAACAGGCAACCTACAGAATGGGAGAAAATTTTTGCAATCTACTCATCTGACAAAGGGCTAATATCCAAAATCTACAATGAACTCAAACAAATTTACAAGAAAAAAACAACCCCATCAAAAAGTGGTCAAAGGATATGAACAAACACTTCTCAAAAGAAGACATTTATGCAACCAACAGACACATGAAAAAATGTTCATCATCACTGGCCATCAGAGAAATGCAAATCAAAACCACAATGAGATACCATCTCACACCAGTTAGAATGGCGATCATTAAAAAGTCAGGAAATAACAGGTGCTGGAGAGGATGTGGAGAAATAGGAACACTTTTACACTGTTGGTGGGACTGTAAACTAATTCAGCCGTTGTGGAAGACAGTGTGGCAATTCCTCAAGGATCTAAAACTAGAAATACCATTTGACCCAGCCATCCCATTACTGGGTATATAACCAAAGGATTATAAATCATGCTGTTATAAAGACACACGCACACGTACATTTATTGTGGCACTATTCACAATAACAAAGACTTGGAACCAACCCAAATGTCCATCAATGACAGACTGGATTAAGAAAATGTGGCACATATACACCATGGAATACTATGCAGCCATAAAAAAGGATGAGTTTGTGTCCTTTGTAGGAACATGGATGCAGCTGGAAACCATCATTCTTAGCAAACTATCACAAGAACAGAAAACCAAACACCGCATGTTCTCACTCATAGGTGGGAACTGAACAATGAGATCACTTGGACTCGGGAAGGGGAACATCACACACCGGGGCCTATCATGGGGAGGGGGGAGGGGGGAGGGATTGCATTGGGAGTTATACCTGATGTAATGACGAGTTGATGGGTGCAGCACACCAACATGGCACAAGTATACATATGTAACAAACCTGCACGTTATGCACATGTACCCTACAACTTAAAGTATAATAATAACAAATAAATTAAAAAAAAAAAAAGAAAATGTGGCACATATACACCATGGAATACTATGTAGCCATGAAAAAGGATGAGTTCTTGTCTTTTGTAGGGACATGGATGAAGCTGGAAACCATCATTCTCTGCAAACTATCGCAAGGACAAAAAAACAAACACTGCAAGTTCTCACTCATAGGTGGAAATTGAACAATGAGATCACTTGAACACAGGAAGGGGAACATCACACACTGGGGTCTGTTGTGGGTGGGGGGAGGAGGAGGGATAGCATTAGAAGACATACCTAATGTAAATGACGAGTTAATGCATGCAGCACACCAACATGGCACAAGTATACATATGTAACAAACCTGCACATTGTGCACATGTACCCTAGAACTTAATGTACAATAAAAATTAATAATAATAATAATAATAAAGAAGTACCATTTGACCCAGTGATCCCATTACTGGGTATATACCCAAAGGATTACAAATCATGCTACTATAAGGACACATGCATACGTATGTTTATTGCGGCAGTATTCACAATAGCAAAGACTTGGAACCAACCCACATGTCCATCAGTGATAGACTGGATTAAGAAAATGTGGCACATATACACCACGGAATACTATGCAGCCATAAAAAAGGATGAGTTCATGTCCTTTGTAGGGACATGGATGAAGCTGGAAACCATTATTCTGAGCAAACTATCACAAGGACAGAAAACCAAACATCTCATGTTCTCAGTCATAGGTGCGAATTGAACAATGAGAACACTTGGACACAGTGTGGGGAACATCACACACCAGGGCCTGTCATGGGGTGGGGAGATGGGGGAGGGATAGCATTAGGAGAAATACCTAATGTAAATGATGAGTTAATGGTGCAGCAAACCAACATGGCACATGTATACATATGTAACAAACCTGCACGTTCTGCACATGTACCCTAGAACTTAAAGTATAATTTTAAAAAAAGAAAGACATCCCACATTCATTGCTGGAAAACTTAATATTACTAAAATATTCATTTTATCCAAAGCAATCTACAAATTCAATGCTATTCCCATCAAAATCCCAATGACATTTCTTAGAGAAATAGAAATTGTATATGGAACAATAAAATACCCAGAATAGCTAAGGCAATCTTGATAAAGAAG